CTGCAGAGCAACAAGAACGTTGAAGAACTTCATGCGTCATCTACCTTCAAGTCAAGTCCACCTGATAAGCAAAACCTTGATGGAAAAGCACCAATGTCGTCACGTTATGAAAGGCATAGCCGTTACGATGACGAGCATCAGCGACATGATCGAAATGGAAATGAAGCAGGAAGTAATGATAATGACAAAAGACCATATCTCACGGATAGAAAGTATCATCCCAATCATTTACCCAAAACCAGCGAGTCGATAACGAACACGAACACTAATTCTGAGCGAAGACTGAGATTCGAGGAGTCTGAGAGAGAAGATCGTGGTTTGGATGTGAAACCCGTGATGGAACAGAAACCGAATAAAGGTGACAGTTACTTGCTCCTATAAAATTTGGATATAACAGGGTGCGCAAAATTGCGTGCGCAGAAAGACCGTGAAGCAAAAATTTGAGGGCTTTTTAAAGCTGAATTTTAAGAAATACAAAAACAAAAGTCATTACATAGTATGTCGACACGTTGAGATTTCCTAATTGGGCCTAGAACAGGGCTCTGCTGAACTACTCCTATTACAGTCTTTCAAAATCAGGCCACTTTTCTACCAACCTTTTTCTACGTGGGTAGATTTAGCTGAAATGTTCTTCCCTAGAGTAGTTTGACCAGCACGAATACCACATCAGCTCGGCCCGAAACCACCACGCAAAATACTCGAAATTACAAGTATCCCTGAAAAGTTGTTAGCTGGAGTAGTTTGATCTCCTGAACACGAATACCACATCAGCTTGGCCCAAAACCGCCAGGCGCACGCGCCACAGGCGCCGGAGCCGGAATATTTTGGATTACGTAATTCGCTGGAAACTTCCACCCTTTCAGTAGTTTAACCTCCTTAATATGAATATCACGTCAGCTCGACCCGAAACCACCAGGCGCCGACGCCCAAATATCTTACATCACCAAATTCGCTGAAAACTGGCCCCAAGGGGTAGTTTGATTTCCTGAACACGTATATCGTAGATTGTGACCCTTCCTCTGCTAAGGCTGAGCCTGGCCGGAAAGGAATAATTTTTTTCCCAGGCTCAGCCTTAACAGGAGGCCAAATGGCGCCAGCGCGAAAAATGAATGCCATATTCGTGACTAGGATTATTAGCCGCAGTATATAAGTTACAGTCCGGCTCCGCTGACACGGGCGCGTCTCCTTCTGATACGGCCCGGCTGGCCGGGCGGGCGCGGCTTCGCCGCGCGTTCCTTATTTCACATATTTCTAACTCAACTGATATCAGGCTTTTCTTCTGTACTCATGGTTAAAGCTTCTCGACAAATACATCATCCCCCTGATACTGTGACTATTACTGAGTATGGAGGTACTAAAGTGCGATCGATTAGAGGCACAGGCGATTAGCAATAACTTGGGAAGGCAATGTGTGGCGAAAGCCGCTTTGCCCGCTCGGCAACTTGGGCTGTATCACAGGAGGCGGACCTCGTGGCATTAGCTCGCCGAGCGACGGAATCTAAACCTCTATGACGGACCTGTGGTTAACAGTAATGGCAGAACACGCCACCAACTCAGTAAAGAAGTAAGTACGTATATGTCTCTCCGCTCCATGAGAGCGTGTACAACAAACTCGACAGACACACTCAACTCTTGCCATATATCCAACAAGCTGAGGTCCTGCACATCTCTGCTTACATGTTGACGGTGTTTGCAGTGCTCTGGAACCGTTCTACAGACTTTTGAGTGGGCTCCGCCCACCTCGGAGCAGGCTCCGCCCATAAATTTTTTGCCCCACAAACCTCACCGGCGACTCTCTGCTGACCTTAGTCCACTTTTTTCCGGTTTCTGTAGTGTTCTGGGACCGTTTTATGGACCTTGTACCTGACTCCGCCCACCTCGATGTACGCTCCGCCCACAACTGTGTATCTTGCACTTCTAAACGGGGACCGCCTTGGACCATAACCCACTTTTCCGCGTCGTCTGTAGTGCTCTAGGACCAAACTACGATTTTTTTAAACTAACACCTCACGTTTGAGGTCACGCGCCCCTCTGTAAAGCAGCGGTCATAGCACACCTCAGATATGGCGAACCCTCCACAGATGTTTGTCTTCGCCATGGACTTTTTTGCAATCTCTAAACTCTCGGAGACCGAGTTACCGACATTTGTGGGAAGCACCGCCCACTTCTTAGGGTGTGTGGCTCCTCCATTTGATGGGTCAACCCTTTGCCAACCTTGATCCACTTTTATCATAAATCATAAATCACGTTTCCCCCATCTCGGGACTGCTCTGGAGCCGAATTATGAACTTTTCAGCGAGACCGCTAACTTTCAACGCATGCCCCGCCAACTGTGGGCTCGGCTTACCATGGGTTACAGTTGCTCTTTACATCTTGTCACATGCCTGCCCTTCCCGACCTGTGACCGCACCGTCTGCCAAGTTGTTCTTCTTCGGTAGAAGAGAAATTTCCGGACAGACAAACAACAAAAGAACAAAACAAACACAAACAGACAAAGCAAACCAGTATAGTGGCGTGATTAATTCCTGTATACAAGTTTCAACCGATTTTGGTGGAGTGATGGCTGGCGCTGCCGCAAATTGGCGCCAAAGTAGGGCGCCACCGCCAAAAAAAATCGTGATCGGGACCCTCCACAGTCAAAGTTTCCGGAAATTTTTTTAGTTTTCGGGATTTCAATAGTGCCCAGGTCTGTAATCAAGATGGGAACTCCAGTCCACTGGTGCACCGAGGATTGGGATCCGAGGGATTCGACCCGCTCTGATCGCGCGTTTTTAGCGGATCACTTTCCACTACACTCCATTCGTCTGTGATGAGGACTAGAGGCGACCATTCTGAGAGTAAGTAATTAACTAACAGTAACTTGAACTAGTGATGGTGTACGAGTTGTCCAATAGCCGTCCTGCGGTTGGGTAAATATCAGTATCAATATGCGAAAACAGAAAATCAAATGCTGTAAAACTGCGCACGTGATTTTGGCACACACCATATTTTGATAACGTTTTACTATTTGAATCTAGTAATATGCGTTCTCCATTTTCAGATCGTCTTGGCGGTGCCACTAATGATTGGATGGTGAGTTTGTTGTTTCAATACACTCTGCTATTTGACCTTTTTTCAAATTCTTAAGTTTTTCCTACTATTGCACGAAGTCTTCACGGTTTGAGGTAAGGTGACTAGAATTTGGGTTTTGTAGTCTTGGCGTTAATGTAAGATTTTATCGAACTCTCGAAAGAACGCCACAAAACAAGTGTGGGTGATAGGGTCAAGAGGAAGGGCACAAAAGCCAAAGAGCTCCAAGCATGAGTATTGCGGTGGATGTTATTGGGTTGTATATCGGGTGGGCTTGATTTGAAAATTTGCTGTGATTATGAAGTGTGAGTGGACTGGCTAGTTATTGCCACGTATTCGGTTTGTTTTTTCGACCCACGAACGCCAGGGGATCGTGGCTGGACTGGCTAAGGAAAGTTTCGACCTCGAACGTTATGCTTTTGGTTGCGATGTAGCTTGCTGC